ATAATTTTTTTATATTAATTGGTATTAAAAAAATAAAAATATGAAATTTTAAAAAATATAATAATATAAAAATTAATAATTACATTAAAAATATTTATTATTAACCATATATAAGACGTGACAATAACCTAATCTTATAACCAAGATTAATCTCTTTCCGAGAGCACCTACCAGATCAGATTCAGGGAAATTAATTTCCTTCCTGACATAATCTTTGACTATATTTATGGTCTAGATTAAAGCCATCATTGTTGCTTGAAGAAATAGGTTGCTAACATCAGAGTGACCCATGAGAACTAACAGGGAGCAGGCCAATTTTTTTCCGGAATTATTCAAATTCATGAACTAGACTAGACAAGAAAATAAAGACAAACATCCACTAAATAATTCATGCTAAAACATTTCTATCTATAAGATTTCCATTTTTGCAGAATCTGTTAATCTGTCATCGTAACACAATCACTAATTAAATTAAAAAGTAAAGCAGGATGCTCTTAGAAAAAGATTAAAAAGCTAAACGTGTCATGTGCTAAAACTTAAATTTGTCAAAAAAAAAAAAAAAGGAAAAAGGAAAAGGAAAAGGAATGAAATTAGAAGGAACAAACCTTTGAGAGTAGAGACTGTCTTCATAGCCTTTTGCTTAGCTTTACCGTCAGGCAATTCCACCCTCAGCACAACTTTCTGCAAACAAAATTCATAAGATCCATTTCAGAATAAATTTTGATTCTGATTCCCTATAAAAATAAAATAAATAAATAAAAACTTAAAATTGATAAAAAAAATCAATTTTTTAAACATCCAATAAGATGAAAGAACACAAATATTCTAAAGATCCGTAGAACTTTCAGCCCAAAAAACAGAAAACTCATTGCTTTCCCCTGAAAGAGACTATTTTGATACTCATGACCCACCAAAGCAAAACTTTTTCCTTTCTCAGGAACAATAAATAAAGAAGAATCAGAAATGAAGTTGAGCAGAACCCATAACAAATCTCCATAAAATGAAATTAAAAAAAAGACCCTTAAACATTCCATCAAACCACCCCATGAAAAGTGAAGTGAAAGGAGACACAATAAAGGATGAAATGAACCCAGCAAAAAGAAAAACAGAGATGTTAGTGCGAAACAGAAACAGATCCCAAAGCAGGAAACAAAACCTTCATTTTTCAGGGAAGTTGCAGACTAAAACCAGAGACGGGAAAGGAAAATGGTGAAAGAAACAGCAGATGGGAGGATAGATAAGAGAAGGGTGGGGGGGTGGTGTCTTGAAAAAAGAAAGAGGAATACGAAACCGAATAATTCTTTGTTGAAAAAGATAGAGGGAGGGATTTGGACAGGGAAAGAAATGGCGAATCAAAACAAGAAATGCAGAATAGGAAAGAGAAAATAAATCATGGAGAGAGAAGAAAGAAAGAAAGATAAGTGCACTAATTTTGAAGAAGTGAAAACTAGTGGCGGGTGAAGAGGATCGAACTGGAGGCGGAGGAGATTAGATTACGTGAAAAGCAGTAAAAGAACTATCGCGATCCCCACCCGTTTCCTACGCGATTGAAAGGAGCGTCACAACCATATTAGTGCATCTGATCTTTTCTTATTAATAATTACTATATTTTATTCTCGGTATTTTCAATGGTGATTTAGCATGTTTGGTCCCCAACATTTTTTATGGCCAAAATTTTTATTTACATCTTATATTTTTTTTTATAATTAATTTTTTTATTAGCATTTTTTATTAACATTTTTTATTATTTAAAATCAATAAAAAAAAACTTAAAAATTTACTGTTAACCTCTCTTTTTTGCACATTAATTTTATGGTCAAACTCTTTATATATACTATAATTTTGTTAGTAAATTAAGATTTTTCATAAGTTTTAAATAATAAAAAGTGTTAAACAAGATGAAAATTAGTTTAAGGTGTTAATTTTCTTTGCAAATAGAGGGTTCAACTCATTTTTTATTATGGTTCAATTAAATCCAAATTTTACTATTGATAAAATTTTTATAATGAACTCTCTTTTTTATATATATAATTATAACTAGAGGAAGTTTTAGCTTTGTTTGGAGTAGTTTGTTAGAGACAAGAAAAAAAAGTGTGTTGGAAAATAATATAAAAAATTTCTTGTGTATAACCTTTTAATAAAATTTTATATATTATTTAATAATTATTTTTTATTATACTAGAATCTATAATATTATATAT